AGGGTGTTTTCCATTGCCTCGTATGCATGTGAAGGTTGGACACTGAATAAGGAAGACGAAGGAAGAACCGATGCATTTGAATTGTGCTGCTGGAGGAGAAGATTGAAAGTATCACGAACTGCTAAAAGGACAACCCAGCATACCATGAAGCAAGTGTGGCAGAGTGCTTCTCAGAGGCCAGGATGGCAAGACTTCGCCTTCCATACTTTGGATATGTTATCAGGAGAAACGCGTCCCTGGAGAAGGACGCCATGTGTGGTGAAGTAGAAGGGCAGGGAAGGAGAGGGAGAGACCTCCAGGAGATAGATGGACACAGCAGCTGCAACAGGGGCGCAGGCAGAGGGACAATTGTGAGGCTGGCACCGGACCGGGCACTTCTTCCTTCAGTGTCGTGTAAAGTCGCTATGGGCTGGAATCCCCTCGATGGCCCCTCACCGCAACACGATATTTTAAAGTCGAGCCGTGTTTACCTCTATCAGCAGCAATCACGATGGAGCTGCAAAGCTCCTCATCTCCATCAAACTGGATTTTGAGTGGCTTTGTTTATTTCCTGAGAACTGGTACCTTCTTAAGTCCCCAAAGATGTCTCACCACGTAAAGATATTTAGTGAGCCTCTCTGGGGCGGCATTGTTCTCTGGGTATCGTGGCTCCTCACGGTGACCTCAGGGCCTCCAGGGTAGCATGTCTTTGAAAGTTCAGAGGCCTGCTGTCTCCTTGAAATTTTGTCTGTACGTCACTTGCAGGGGCTGGGATTTGTAGGACGAAATCTGTCCACGGGGAGCTGGGTGAGCCTCTGGATCCATCGGCTTCCTGGCTTTGTCAAAATGTACAGAAATAGGAAGGCATTTCAAAAAGTTCCTGGGGGAAAAGATGGAACTAAAAGATACTGGTATTTTTTCAGGAAAATTTTGCAGCTCCCCTCGTATGAGATTGTAAGTACGTTTGCCTCATCAACATGGTAGACCCTTCCCCAGATGTAAGTACTTTTATTAACTCAACAGAATCACATTTCAAAACCTGGATTTCTCCCAAGTATCAGCTTTGCAAATTCACTTGTAAAATTTTAAGCCATTTCTGTCACTAATAAACAGTTTTGGAAGCAGGGTGGCTTCAAAGGAGGGGCAATGGCTGACATTACCCGAAGACCCAAACCCAGTGCCATCGGCTGTGTGCTGACCCCTAGTCCCCACAGTGCAGGATTCCGGGGACTGTGCCTCTTTATCCAGAGTGCCTGGTGGGTTTGAACCACCAACCTTGCAGTTAGCAGCCCAAGTCATTCTCCCGAAGCACAACCGGGGCTCCCTTGATCCAAAGATGCTGGCTGTTACCATTTCAGCATATTTTCTACTGCTCTTTCTAAGCCTCCTCCTTCATTTTTGTTGTCATCTACTTCCTAGGACATTTCTTTCTCTCACTGTTCTATTTAGAGTGTATCTTTATGTAGTCGCCACCAGTAGTCTTCTGTGCATTTTTAAATGAGTATTTAGTCAGGGTTACATAGTGCCACGCGGGACCCACAGTGTGCAGTTGACAGCCGGCAGACCCGACTTCCAACAGAGGCGGTTTTATTAGACTCTTTCCTCCAGTGGCAGCAGAGTGGTCAAATGGCCAGGGAGCGCTCAGAAGAGGGATTTTTCAGGATGTCGCAGGTGGCCTGCCTGCCTTCTCTCTTTGGCCGTCAACCCAACGAGCACTCGAGTTCTCTCCATGGCAGCAAAACTCTGGGAGGAAATCCTGCCTGTTTTTATTGCTCAGTCCAGGAAGTGGTTATTGGACTGGCGGTGCAGGGAGGATCCCCCCTTCTATACTGTGCGTGTCACTGTTCAATTTTACTGAAGGGCACTGGATGCCAAAGGACGTACTAAATAACCAGCACTTTCTACCTCCATTTCATTTCATGCAAATGATGTCATATTTCACCAGAAGATTCTTGTGTTTAGCAAACAAACCTTCTTCGCTGTACTTACCTTGGTTTGCCTTTGAAAAGTCTCCCAGACGTGTAGGCTGTGAAGAGGTGAAAGGACACACACCATTGAAATCTTTGAAGAGCTCAGTTAAAATCTACATGCTTGACACTTGGTAGTTATAGTAGCAAATAACTTACTTTATAAAGAACTTGCGGTACTCGGTATTATGGGCTTCCTAACTTGCCAGGCAACATATTAAGATTTTACAACTCTAAAGCTCAAAAACAGTGTGTACTGTTTACCTATTTTTTCTCCTGGCTCTTATTGAAGCCCCATTGTCGTTTTGTGCAGTCAGCGGACAGTTGTTTCATGTTGACGTAATGCTGAAAGTAACCCTCTTGCTAGTGCCCGTCACTGAGAATGTCAAGCTTAAGACGTCTAACATGGGACCCGTCGTGGTGAGGGGACCCACGTAAGAGTAGGCAATTTGTCTCCTTCCTATCCATGTGTACCTAGATGAATATACAGCCTTTAATGACATCTCTTTCAGATTCATTCCTGAATCACCTCGTTGGTTATACTCCCAGGGTCGACTGAGTGAGGCCGAGGAGGCACTCTACCTCATTGCCAGGAGGAACCGCAAGCTCAAGTGCACCGTCTCGTTAACCTATCCCGCCAACAGGAGCAACAGGGCGACAGGAAGTTTCCTGGACCTGTTCCGGTACCGGATCCTCTTGGGGCACACGCTGATGCTGATGTTCATCTGGTAATTACACAGAAGGGCATCTTATTGTTCTTCAAGAACCCTGGTGTTTCTTCTCCAGAGAGATGGGGACTGCACCTCTTCTGGGGTCGTGAGCTGGGTTCCCCAGAAGTAACGGAATGTCCTCGTGTTCCCCTAGTACCGGGTGGGTTGCAAGCCTCTAGCCAGAGCTGATCCATGGTCCCTGAGGACAGACATATTAAACTTGAGCTTGTAGCCATAAGAAACACATCCTTGTACATGAGAGTTGATAAACGTATGTAAGCAAAACAGAAAAGAAGGAAAAGAAAGGAAGCGTACGAGATACAGAAGCATTTAAAACAGGCCTTAAAGATCCCGACCTTAAAGATCCCGACCTTTGTTTGGGGTTTCAGCACTAAGCAATGGATAACCCACCCACCTACTGCCATCGAGTTAGTTCCGACTTATTATGACCTATGTTAGTCTGGGTCGACTAGAGAAACAAATTCATAGACATGCGTATGTGTATAGAAAAGAGCTTTCTGTACAAGAGCAGTTGAACATTGAGAAAACAACCCAGCCCAGTCCAGATCAAGTCCTTAAGTCTGATATTAGCCCATATGTCTGATACCAATGTATAAATTCCTCTTCAGACTCACAAAACACATGCAATGATGCAGAATGCAGGGAGATCACAGGCCAGTGGGTGGGAAGTCTTTTGCATCCAGTGACATTGTAAGCATCTCAGTACTGGCAGGGGGTCTGGACATGGCTTCTCTCGCTCCAAGGCTCTGGTTGCCATCAGCCTGTCTCTGTGTGGCTTGTCAATGAGAATGTCTTGCAGGGACTGGGCGTGTGCCCCACCTCAGGTGAGCTATTTATCTCCTTAGTTCCTCCAAATGAGGTCATCAAGCTGCCTCCTGATTGACAGGTTAAACTCCACCCCATTCACTCTTAATGCTCTCATATTGACAACAGATTATGTAACTACCACAGACCACCCCTTGTCAATTTGATACTTTCACACAACTCTTTAGCAATACATAATTTCAAACAATAAGAAAATCATATCTGTAGCTAACAGGATAAAACTAAATGTATACAATTCAGTATGTGCCACCTTCACTTGAACATAACATTCTATAAGTGAAAAAACAAAAATATCCTATGCCTAACAATTGCAGTTGAGTAACACCTACACCTTAATCCTATCATCCTACGAATATCTTCTCCCATTTATGAAAGACTGTAAGCCAGCCACTAATTCCTTTATATACCCCATTTTGGGTATCCAATTTCTATACTGCTCACTTCCATCAACCCAGTGCTCTGAGGAGACAATCATATTCTTTGATGTGAAGAATCTTCATTCCAGTGGAGCCTTGTGAAATCTGCATCCATAAGCAGTCAAATCAGGACAAATTGGGTTTTGGGTTTTTGAGGCTGTGGATCTTTCTTTCCTTGAGAGGTTGGTGGGCTGTGGTTCGAACTGCTGGCCTTGTGGTTAGAAGTCCATTGTGTAACCCACTACACCATCAGGGCTCCTTAAGAAGTTAAGAGGACGTTCAAATGGTCGTGCTGGGTGATGCATTTTGTGGGGTGTCCCCACTCATGAATTCACAGGGACCACTGTATGTGATCCTTCAGAACCTTGGGAGTTTGAAGGGGTGGATTCAAAGCCACGTCTGTAAGTCAGTGGGGCACCTGATGAGCACGTACAGAACCTGACTTCTTTATTGTCTAGCTTATTCCAGCCTGCCTCTCCCGATGTTCTGAGCATTAATGGAAGCGGCAA